CCTTGACTAGCTTGTCATGACCTTGAAGTTTAGTATTAAGTAATTCCTAAACCTTGACTAGCTTGTCATGACCTTGAAGTTTAGTATTAAGTAATTCCTAAACCTTGACTAGCTTGTCATTATCTTGAAATTTAGTATTAGGTAATCCCTAAAGATTTATACTGACTAGCTTGTCGTGACCTTGAAGTTTAGTATTAAGTAATCCCTAAACCATGACTAGCTTGTCATTTTTTAAGTTATGTTTACTGATCTTGTTCAAATATACAAGAAGAGATTTAGATTAAAACAAAAAAACTGTGTATTAGATTTACTGAAAATACATATTTGTATGTCGCTTGTACCTATATTGTACCAAGATATTACGTTTATCTAGCTTTGGTTTCATTCCACAATTCAACAGAACAATATGCTAGATTTCCTTACTTCTAGGTTTCAAACGGGCAGTTTAACCGAAAATATTCCCAACTCTGACATTACAAAATCACCTCCATTTTGTTTACTAGAACTTCCTAGCATTAAACAAACATTTGACTCTAAATCTGTGTTTTAATTCACTAAACCTAAACTAGAAAAAGCAGTTGAATAGTTTACAGAGAGCCTTTAGACTGCGAATTATTCCTAACACCCGTGTATTAAACAGTGTCTTTTATAGTCTTAATCAGATTACCATCATTATTGTTTTTGAGACAGATTTAACTTAACATTATCGTTAGATATTAAACATCTATTATCAACATTTACTTACATCACAGAACAACGGATGCTGATTGATATTGTTTCCTCTAAGTTAGGTATGGCTTAGGGACAGAAAATTAGTGCTCAGAGAAATTTGTACTTTGCCCATTACAGACAAAAAACAGAGGTAAAATTGGAGAAGAACAGTATTTCTTGCAAAATATTTAAGACTGGAAAAAATAATGGAAGACATGAGCAACAGTTCGTGTATTGAGTTTCAGTTGCTTCTTGTTGTCAGGTAGCAAGTGTCGGAATATCCTCTCTAAAGTTGTTGAGACAAACTAGTTGTTTATATCTGATATATAAAAACTGTTTGTTTCTTTAGCTAACAGTCTTGTAATTGTTATGAAACAACAATACCTTACTTTGTAAAACAAAGTTGATGAGTGAAATTGGAAAGTCCATTTTTATTAAAAAGAACTTATAAGTTATTAATGAAATCATTCAAAAATCCCTTGTGCACAGATATATTGTTTAATTTTTGTATTAAACTTCTAGAATGAAAACAAATTCATCACATAGGACACAATTTACTACATACACAGTTTTGTCAAAATCTAGAAAACAATGCAGGCATACAACATATACTAAAACCAGGATAAGTAAACTTGATTAATCAGTATTATTACAACTTGAATTAAACTGTTTAGTAATGTATTAGATCATTAGCCAACACTCGAAGTTTCAAGATTGATTTGAGTAAAATAATAATAATAAATATTTTTCACAATCAGTCGAGAATATTCTTGCACCTTTTTTAACGTTGACAGGTGACTAATGCCAGTTTAGAAATAATCTGTTTGCTTATTAGTTTAAATAAGTCTATTTCAGCAAGTTCTTTGTATCCTTTTTGATGACAGTTTTTATCACTTAAAACTTCTAGCTTGGGATGACGGAAAAATTCGGGCATTTACACCACGTACAGGAAAGATCATCTTCACGATTCACGATGCTCACAACAGAGGTGTTACTGCAATAACTACGACCACAGACTGCAAACAGATCATCAGTGGCGGTGGCGAAGGAGAAGTTAGAGTATGGGATATCACAGCCGAGAAACAGGTACCAGAAAACCTGAATGTATCAAACTGGTTGTGTAATTAAGAGTATTTGTTAATTAAAAAAGTAATTTCAGGATCTCTAAAGTAACTTTCAAGTACCAAATGACCTCAACCAGTATGTTTATTTCAATCCCTAATAGAATAACTTGTTGTACGATCTTTATCCAAAGGCTTACAAGTTTCTCACCACATTGTCAGATTCACTAGTTGCCTGATGTATATTACCACATGTACAGAATACAGAAAGATAAGACAGTAAACTGATATCGTTCTGTCCACTGTTGTTATATACATGTACAGAATACCACACGTACAGAATACAGAAAGATAAGACAGTAAACTGATATCATTCTGTCCACTGTTGTTATATATAAGTACATGAATACCAGACATACAGAATACAGAAAGATAAGACAGTAAACTGATATCATTCTGTCCACTGTTGTTATATATAAGTACATGAATACCACATGTACAGAATACAGACAGATAAGACAATAAACTGATATCATTCTGTCCACTGTTGTTATATACAAGTAAATGAATACCACATGTACAGAATACAGACAGATAAGACAATAAACTGATATCGTTCTGTCCACTGTTGTTATATACAAGTACATGAATACCACACATACAGAATACAAAAAGATAAGACAGTAAACTGATATCGTTCTGTCCACTGTTGTTATATACAAGTAGATGAATACCACACGTACAGAATACAGAAAGATAAGACAGTAAACTGATATCATTCTGTCCGCTGTTGTTATATACAAGTAGATGAATACCACATGTACAGAATACAGAAAGATGAGACAGTAAACTGATATCATTCTGTCCACTGTTGTTATATACAAGTACATGAATACCACATGTACAGAATACAGACAGATAAGACAGTAAACTGATATCATTCTGTCCACTGTTGTTATATACAAGTAGATGAATACCACATGTACAGAATACAGAAAGATAAGACAGTAAACTGATATCATTCTGTCCACTGTTGTTATATATAAGTACATGAATACCACACATACATAATACAGAAAGATAAGACAGTAAACTGATATCATTCTGTCCACTGTTGTTATATACATGTACAGAATACAGAAAGATAAGGCAGTAAACTAATATCGTTCTGTCGACTGTTGTAATATACATGTACAGAATACAGAAAGATAAGACAGTAAACTGATATCGTTCTGTCCACTGTTGTAATATACATGTACAGAATACAGAAAGATAAGACAGTAAACTGATATCGTTCTGTCCACTCTCATTACGTGACAAATAGATGAATGCTAATTTTGTTTTGATACAGATTTTGCGTGAAACTATGAAGGAACACAAGGGACCAGTCTCTTGCATTAAAGTGCGTAGCAATGATAAAGAATGTATCAGTGCAAGCACAGATGGCACCTGTATCATTTGGGATTTGCAGTGAGTGTAATTTTTTTTCTTTTGACAACTGTGTTCATACTGAAAGTCTTTGTGGAATTTTGATAGAGTAAAATGAAGGCAGCAGGTGATACTTGGGCAACTTTTAACAACAAATAGTGGGATTGACCATCACAACTGAAAAGATGAGCATGTTTGGGTATGGGTTTTGATCTCATGACCTACAGATTATGGGCCAAGTGCCCCATCCACTAGGTCAGGCCCGTCTTATATTGAATGAATAATTTAAAGAGTAGAAGAAAACAAACAAGATGAAATAACTTCCCAAATATGAAAACTTTTCAGGCAACAGTCCTTGCTCGGGTGAGGAAAAAAATAATGCATTGTTCAAACATACATTCTTGAAATCAAACAATTAAATGTAACATACATGAGAATAATTAATTAGTTGTTTAAAGTAGAATAAATAATAAAGTCAACAATATATGAGAGTCATTACTAATAGTCCTCTCTGTTCTTGCCACATCATTTTTCCTATATAACTATGTATACAAGCCCAACTGACGTTAAGCATTACAGATTTATATATTTAAGACATAAGTTTGTGTAAGTCTGAATTGTTTATATTTAAAGAAAATTAAACTCCAGTTGTATGATGATTCTAAGTCTGAAAAAAAAATGTTTCAAACTAAAACCCATATGTCCACTAGGAGGTTTATCAGAAGCCAGGTTATATTTGCCAATACTCTCTTCAAGTGTGTGTGTTACGGACCTGAAGAATGTCAACTTATAACAAGTGGCACAGACCGTAAGATTGGATACTGGGAGGTGTACGACGGATCACTGATACGGGAACTTGAAGGATCCAGATCTGGATCGGTGAATGCCATGGATATATCACATGATGGACAAGTGTTCGTGACAGGTGGTAATGACAAGCTAGTCAAGGTCAGTATAAACCTTTAAGGATTACTTAATACAAAACTTCAAGGTGGTAATGACAAGCTAGTCAAGGTCAGTATAAACCTTTAAGGATTACTTAATACAAAACTTCAAGGTGGTAATGACAAGCTAGTCAAGGTCAGTATAAACCTTTAGGGATTACTTAATACAAAACTTCAAAGTGGTAATGACAAGCTAATCAAGGTCAGTATAAACCTTTAGGGATTACTTAATACAAAACTTCAAGGTGGTAATGACAAGCTAGTCAAGGTCAGTATAAACCTTTAGGGATTACTTAATACAAAACTTCAAGGTCATGATAAGCTAGTGAAAGTCAGTATAAATCTTTAGAGATTACTTAACACTAAACTTCAAGACCGGGTTAAACTAAGTGGTTTATATTAGGTACATACATCAATTTGAACAAGATCAGTAAA